TTAAATGGAACCTAAAAGCTTTAAAGGCACATTTATAGTCATTTACCCATACATCCCCTAGCCTGATGAAGGATAAGCCCTTCTTTACGTAGCAGTGGTTGCCCCTGTAGGCCAGTACAGTTATTTCAATGTCCTGCATTCTTGTACAGGCTTGTGGTGGAAACCATTGGTACCGAAAGAAGGGCTTATTTTGCATCAGACCGACTCTGGGCCACATACAGGCAAGAGAACTTTACAGATTTTATTCTCAAATGTTTCAAATATTAATTTGAAAAGTATATTTGATAAACAAACATCAAGAAAATCATGACCAAACAAAAATCCTAACAATAATGATAACCTCAAGGTTGAACTGTTTCCCTGTATCATAGATCAACCTTCCTAATGGCCCATCATCATGTTTTCTGGCCAGCCATTCCATCCACTCAATTACAGCAATGTGCTCAGATAACAAATGATCTGTTCTTTTCCCCCTCAGCCTCCAGACCTGCTCTTTCTAAAAGCGGCATGCCCTCTCAATATGTTGCGTATGTATCTGTGTTTGGATCTACCCAACTCCTGCTGTGGTTAACTGTGTAACTGTGGTATCCCAACTGAGGCAAAATCCGATATGCTTGCTATTCCTCACTGATAACAGACGAGCCTACTCTCACATGCTGAGCAATGATGGGGACTAAATGCCTCCTTGATCTGCGTTCTACAAGCTGTAGCACTGGCTTTCTTTCACCATTATTTTGCACACCCAGCATTGCAAATACCTATGTCTTCTTCCTCTTCCATCCACCAGCCATTCTGCCCTTTCCATACTCCAACAAAAAGCAAACATTTAAAATGATTATATTAGATTGAATTGATGACATGAATTACATGATATCATCTAGCCAGTTTGTCTCCTCAGCCTTTGCCTCTGTCCAACACACATCTCTTATTTTTTTGGCAATTCTTGTAAGTGTTGCTGATCTATTCTATTTCCTCCTTCCTTTTGTCTTAAATTGTTGTATAATGACACTTTTTCTACTTGACTTGATGAAAGGAATGTGATTTCATTATTATCTTCCTATTTTAAGGCCATTTTCATGTTGATGATAATGGTCACTTTTTGCTTGAAAAACGGGCCATATCTCAGAAATGAAATAACATACTGTATAAAGATCATTCTAAACCCACATGTACATTCTTAAAGAATAATATTGAACATGTTACCATCATTTTAGTTTGAAAAATACTGTTATGCAAAAGCCTTGACCAGAATGTTGTAGAGCAGTGGTTTTCAATAGGTGAGGTCCACCAAAGAGCCACTGGGGAGGTACGATACATGTAGACTAAACCAGGACTGAACCAGGACTAAACCAGGACTAAACCAGGACCGGAGGTGCACCTACGTAGACCATCGGGACTGGCACAGAGCTCCGCTTCCCACGGGGCTAAGTGCTGCCATTGTCCGATCGCGCTTTATGGACACACTGCTCCATGGGCTCAGGGTTCTCCTTCTCTCTCTCTCAAGTCCAAGGTTAGTCCTGGTTTAGTCCTGGTGTCCTACTGATGTTGAGTGATATTAAAAATATCCTCAATTAGGCTGCATGAAGTAGAAAATGATTTGCTGTTGCAAAATTCCTTCATGAATGCACTTTAAAAATACAATATAAAAAAAAAATAATTATCAGTTGTTATTGTGTGTGTAGAGGACCAGGGAAGGCACACATGTCTGGCACCATGGTCCTTTCGGTCACCACATGTGATCTTTGACACTATATTTAAAGGTTAAACACAGGTATTTAGCAGACGTTTTTATCCAAAGCAAATTGGCCTCGCAGCAGAGAGATTGATGCAAACCACTGTTCCAACGTGCCCATATAAGTGACCTTTCAAGTCAACAAAGAAAAGCACCTTGGAGGTAAAAATAATATGGGTCTAGGGCCCTGAGTAATATATAAATAACTTTTTCAGAGATCTAGACAGTTTATTTTAGTTAAATATGACTATGATAATAGATTTAACGTAACAGTTTATTAAAAATAAGAAGATATCAGAATTGAATTCCTTGTATCAAACAAAGTAGAAGAATTACATTATACAACAATTTAAGACTAAAGTAATTTCCTTTTCCCTTTTCTCCTGGAGCCATTTTGGATTTTATGTACACCAGCCACTAGGGGGCGCACCCCAACTTGTATCCATAGATTTTTAAACACCTTAGGCCCATATCTAGCACCCTGCCAAAAATCAAAAACTTTTCCAGAGGTGCACGATTTTCATGAATTCCCCCCTGACTAAAACTCAAACTTCGTTACAGCCACCGAAGGCCCTGCAGCTGTTTCTTTACTTCAGTGCTGCGGGGGGAGTCACTGATTTACCCAGATACCACTGGAAGAAAAATTCATTCAATATTTTTTCTTGAGCCTTCACTGAACACCTTGAAGGCTCTGAGGTTCCCCTGTGAAAGAAATGCTGTTTGCACAACAAATGTATGACTCTTTCATTTACATTTCCAGTAAAAGTGCGCTATACTCTACTTTTTAATTAATTAATTGGTTTTGCATATAACATGCGATTAATCGCAATTAATCGCACTCGAACTCATGCGATTAATGAAATTAATATTTTTTATATTTGCCCAGCCCTATAAAAAATAAATAAAAATGAAAATCGGTTAGTCCAGGCGGTGGGAGGGGGTGGTGGTGGTGGCTGAGATACCGTGCCCGCAAAGTGAGGACCGGGGTGGGGTGGGGTGGGGGGTGACTGGACTGAACCAGGTCTAAACCAGGTCAAAATCATCTAAACCAGGACTAAAACCAGGACTAAACCAGGTCTAAAATCAAGATTAAACCAGGACTAAAACAGGATTTAACCAGGACTAAACAATGGCTTACCGTATCTCCTCTTCGCGTGTACGCCACATGCACCGAGTCACCTTTTACATGCCACTGTTCCGTGAAAATATTATCCCGAAAATATTCTCAGACATAAAACCGGTCCGTGGCGCAGAAAAGGTAGGGGACCACTGTGTTTATGGCACAATGTATGCAGATGCACACTCCACGTTTGGTATTAGGAGCAGGAGTTTGGTTCGGTTTTCCCCATTATTCATTCCAGTATGGTTGCTTGTGCTGTTTTAGTGAAATATTAAAATTGGTTTCATGACATGAGTGTCATCTGAAAGTGTGGTAAATAATCATTTTCATTCATTTACATTATTGGCACAGCTCTCAAGAAAACGGACCCTGGCCCCAGCTCCAGTAGCTAGAGTCTGGTTTCAAGTGACACTTCTAACATAGAAATAGACAGTGTAGAGGAAAAATCATCAGAAAAGTATACATCATCCAATGATATATCTTATGAAAAAAACAACAACAAAAGGACAAAGAAGAGAAAAGATAGGTCAGTGGCACTGAAATATTGTCAGAGAGGTAAAATGTTACTTTAATATCTTTTTGTTTTTCATATATTTTATTTAATACCTACATTTACAGCGATTTTGACTGCAGCATCAAGGCAGGGTTTGACGTTAAATAGTTGTGGCAGTTCTCGACCGTGCAACCTTCCCAACAATGACATCCATCTGACTTTGGTGATTTTAAACTGAGGTTTAATTTAAACTTTATTGACAATTTTTATTATGCATACCAACATATTGAACTCCAGATAATCTATTCATAGTATAGTTAAAACTGCTGTACCTTGTAAAATTTAGATGACTTAATTTCACATTACACATTTTATTCTAATGGCAGCTATGTGCTATCTAATTATAATGTGTTTAAGCATGTAAGTGAACAAGGAACTTGTTGTGTGGTTACCTGCCATGTTTGCCCTAACAGTTGTGAAACATGCTTTTAAAATTGTTCCAGTGAATAATTAGGGTGTTAGAATATGGGTAAATCAGCAATGAGTGTAGAACACTACTTAAAATATTTTATCTTTATTCTTTTAATTTTCTTATTTATTTACAGCTCAAGGTCCAAGAAAAGTGGTGGCCAGGTACAAGAAAATTTTGAAGATCTTCAAGCAAGGTGGCACAATGAGTCAAGCCTTCAAAAAGTATGGGAAGGACCACAATACAGTTGTAATTACAGCTCCGATTGCCGACTGTACATAGTCACCCCAGAAAAATACTAAGAAATTATTGCAAACTTACAGTAAATCTGTGAAGCTGTCAGTGTTTGCAGCGCAATGTGCATTGGCTATTTCTGAAGACACTTACATAGAGCAAAAGATCCAAACTTTAAAGAGTCTAAGAGTCAGGGAAGCTATTTCCTTTTAAAACAAAATAAACAAATGTATGAATGCTTAAAAAATTTAAATTGTGTGAAGTTTTTTAAATGTGTATTACGTTAAGGTAATCTGTAAAGTTCTCTTGCCTGTATGTGGCCCAGAGTCGGTCTGATGCAAAATAAGCCCTTCTTTCGGTACCAATGGTTTCCACCACAAGCCTGTACAAGAATGCAGGACATTGAAATAACTGTACTGGCCTACAGGGGCAACCACTGCTACGTAAAGAAGGGCTTATCCTTCATCAGGTTAGGGGATGTATGGGTAAATGACTATAAATGTGCCTTTAAAGCTTTTAGGTTCCATTTAAAAAGGTTACAATAAAACTATTAAAAAACCCTATTTGATAGGGGTTTTATAGCTTTAATGTATTCATTTTTATCTTTTTAAATGTGACGTTAAAACTTTATTGTTAAGTTATAGTTTTTGTTTTATTTTTAATTAGTTGATGGCTAGATTTTTGGCTAGTTACTGGGTAGTTACTAAGCGTGACTCGTGATTAATTAAGTCTTTGTTCATTATTAATTAAGCCTTTGTTCATGCTTTATTAAGGCTAAATAAGCTGTAGTTATTATAAAGTGTTACCCAACTGGTTGCTGTGTGATATGTCACTTTTGAAGCTACCATTTTTAATTACAAAAAACTCATATCTTATGGGTGGATGGTAGTTTTAAAGTTTGTCAGACTTTAAAACTACGACTTAATTGTTGAACATTTTATGCATTTGACAGGTTCTGAAGGAAGCCGTTTCGGCACGCTTCCGTAATGTTTCCTACCTTCACACCCGAGGTCCTGGTCTGGCTGGTCATCTGTCTGCCATCCAACACGGCATCATGTCTGATATAGCCACAGTGACCCACCTGCTGGAACACTGTGTGCCACAACATTATTGCTTAACCGCAGCTTACTTAAGGGCCAGCCATCGTTGTTTGCATTCTCATCTGGCACAGGTAAACTGAATTCTACCAAAGTTGCCTGAAAACTCTGCTCAGTTGTATAGCAGTGTCCATACTCCACTAATACTATTAATTACTAAATCAGTTTTGTTTAGGGTTTGGGAAGCTATGGTTCTGTATATTTTTTTGGTAAATTTTCAGTATAGTAAAAAAGAAAAAAAAAAAGACAAAGCAAGTTGCATAAGCTATTCAAAGCAAGCAAATTAGTGTTCCTGCAGGAAGATGCAGGAACTGAACATTTCAATTACAATGTTTTTGGCAAGCATTTTCAAAACAATAAAAACAAAAAATTAACATGGTCTAAATATTTTTTGTGTTAGCAATTCCATCCATCCATCCATTTTCTTCCGCTTTTCCGGGACCGGGTCACGGGGCAGCAGTCTAAGCAGGGACTCACAGACTTCCTTCACCCTAGACAAGTCCTCTGGGGGAACCCCGAGGTGTTCCCAGGCCAGCCCAGAGACATAGTCCCTCCAGCGTGTCCTGGGTCTTCCCCGGTGCCTCCACCCGGTGGGACATGCCCGGAACACCTCCCGAGGGAGGCGCCCAGGAGGCATCCAGAACAGATGCCCGGGCCACCTCAACTGGCTCCTCTCGACGTGGAGGAGCAGTGGCTCTACTTCAAGCTCCTCCCGTGTGACTGAGCTCCTCACCCTATCTCTAAGGGAGCACCCAGACACCCTGCGAAGGAAACTCATTTCGAGCACTTGTATCCGCGATCTCATTACTGCAGACGCTGCACCGATCTGCCTGTCAATCTCACGCTCCATCCTCCCCTCACTCGTGAACAAGACCCCAAGATACTTGAACTCCTCCACTTGAGGCAGGGACTCTCCACCCGGAGAGGGCAAGCCATCTTTTTCCGGTCGTGAACCATGACCTCGGACTTGGAAGAGCTGATCTTCATCCCAGCCACTTCACACTCGGCTGCAAACCGCCCCAGTGCACATTGCAGGTCCTGGTTTGATGAAGCCAACAAGACAACATCATCTGCAAACAGCAGAGGTGAGATCCTGTGGTCCCCAAACCGGACCCCCTCTGGTCCCTGACTGCGCCTAGAAATTCTGTCCATAAATACAATGAACAGAGCCAGTGACAAAGGGCAGCCCTCGTGGAGTCCAACATGCAGGAACAGGTCTGATTTACTGCCGGCAATGCGAACACAGTTCCTGCTCTAGTCATACAGGGACCGGACAGCCCTTAGCAAAGGGCCCCCAACCCCATACTCCCAGAGCACACCCCACAAGACACCATGACGGACAGGATCGAATGCCTTCTCCAGATCCACAAAGCACATGTGGAGTGGTTGAGCAAACTCCCACGAACCCTTGAGCACCCGATGGAGAGTGTAGAGCTGGTCCAGTGTTCCATGACCAGGACGAAAACAACATTTCTCCTCCTGAATCTGAGGTTCAACTATCAGCCGGCTTCTCCTCTCCAGTACCTTGGAATAGACATTACCGGGAAGGCTGAGGAGTGTGATTCCCCTGTAGCTGGAACACACCCTCTGCGAACCAACAAGGCCCAACAGGACTCCTTCTTCAGCCTGTTGGCATCCCTTACTTCCGGTGTCCACCACCGGGTTCGGGGATTGCTGTCGCGACAGGCACCACAGACCTTACGCCCACAGCTATGAGTGGCCACATCAACAATAAAGGCAGAGAATGAAGCCCACTCGAACTCCATGTCCCTAGCCTCCCCCGGAATCTGGGAGAAGTCCTCCCAGAGGTGCGCGTTGGCGCATTGGCATGAAGCCCCCCGACAACATAGCTCCCGGGATCATTTGGGCACTCAACCCCTCCACCACGATAAGGTGGCAGTTCAGGGAGGGGGTGTTAGCAATTGATACCCCATATAACTGCAATACCCCCTCTTTAAAGTGAGAAAAAATGCTTTTATTAATATACAAATTAAGTCCATTAAGGTTAAATAAATATCTTAAATTTAACAAAACTAAGAATAGAGATGCCCTACAGTAGGATAAAACAAGAAAAAAAAAGTTCTGTATATTGTGTTAGATAATTTCCTATTTTACTTAACCTCTCTCCCCGAGACAAATTATGCACTCATTGGCCTTAGAGCTGCTTTTCTTTCAGGTATGCTAAACTTGCCACTGCATGTGGACCTTGTAGTTCTGGTCATCTGTTCAGACGTTAATGTGACAAACCTTTTGAGTGGTGGAGCCACTTTGTTAATAATCCTGAACAAAAAGGTTTAGTTTTGTCCATTTATAAATGTTATCTTTAGCTAAAAGTTTTATCTAGGGAATCGTCCGGAATGGCAGCTTGTATCATAATACAGAGTGGCAAGCATCATCAGAGGTTACTGAGCAGAACATTTTGCACTTGTATAGCAAATATAGCAACTATGAACTATTAATGTTATGAAATGAATACTATGAGATTATTGTTCACAGTAGTGCATCCATCCATCCATTTTTGTCCGCTTATCCGGGGCCGGGTCACGGGGGCAGCAGCCTAAGTAGGGACTCCCAGATTTCCTTCACCCCAGACACGTCCTCCAGCTCCTCCGGGGGGACCCCGAGGCGTTCCCAGGCCAGCCGAGAGACATAGTCCCTCCACCGTGTCCTTGGTCTTCCCCGGGGCCTCCTCCCGGTGGGACATGCCCGGAACACCTCCCGAGGGAGGCGTCCAGGAGGCATCCGGAACAGATGCCCGAGCCACCTCAACTGGCTCCTCTCGATGTGGAGGAGCAGCGGCTCTACTCCGAGCTCCTCCCGTGTGACTGAGCTCCTCACCCTATCTCTAAGGGAGCGCCCAGCCACCCTGCGGAGGAAACTCATTTCAAGCGATCTCGTCTTTTCGATCAAGACCCAGAGCTCATGACCATAGGTGAGAGTAGGAACGAAGACTGACCGGTAAATCGAGAGCTTCGCCTTTCGGCTCAGCTCCCTCTTCACCACAACGGTCCGATACAGCGACCGCATCACTGCCGAAGCTGCACCGATCCGCCTGTCAATCTCACGTTCTGTCCTTCCCTCACTCATGAACAAGACCCCGAGATACTTGAACTCCTCCACTTGAGGCAAAGACTCCCCACCCACCCGGAGAGGGCAAGCCACCTTTTTCCGGTCGAGAACCATGGCCTCAGACTTAGAAGAGCTGATCTTCATCCCAGCCACTTCACACTCGGCTGCAAACCGCCCAATGCACATTGCAGGTCCTGGTTCGATGAAGCCAACAGGACAACATCATCCGCAAACAACAGAGATGAGATCCTGTGGTCCCCAAACCGGACCCCCTCCGGCCCCTGACTGCGCCTAGAAATTCTGTCCATAAACACAACAGAACCGGTGACAAAGGGCAGCCCTGACGGACTCCAACATGCACCGGGAACAGGTCTGACTTACTGCCGGCAATGCGAACACAGCTCCTGCTCCGGTCATACAGGGACCGGACAGCCCTTAGCAAAGGACCCCGGACCCCATACTCCCAGAGCACCCCCCACAGGACACCACGAGGGACACGGTCGAATGCCTTCTCCAAGTCCACAAAACACATGTGGACTGGTTGGGCAAACTCCGATGAACCCTCGAGCACCCTATGGAGAGTGTAGAGCTGGTCCAGTGTTCCACGGCCAGGATGAAAACCACACTGCTCTTCCTGGATCTGAGGTTCGACTATCGGCCGGATTCTCCTCCCCAGTACCCTGGCATAGACCTTACCGGGAAGTCTGAGGAGTGTGATCCCCCTATAGTTGGAGCACACCCTCCGGTCCCCCTTCTTATACAGAGGGACCACCACCCCGGTTTGCCAGTCCAAAGGTACTGTCCCCGACCGCCATGTGATGTTGAAGAGGCGTGTCAGCCAAGACAGCCCCACAACATCCAGAGACTTCAGGTACTCAGGGCGGATCTCATCCAACCCCGGAGCCTTGCCACCAAGGAGCTTTCCAACCACCTCAGTGACTTCAGCCAGGGTGATGGATGAGTCCGCCTCCGAGTCCCCAGCCTCAGCCTCCTCCTCGGAAGCCGTGACGGTGGGATTGAGGAGATCCTCAAAGTATTCCTTCCACCGCTGGACAACGTCCCCAGTCGAGGTCAGCAGCCCTCCCCCCGCACTGTAAACAGTGTTGGCGAAGAACTGCTTCCCCCTCCTGAGGCGCCGGACGGTTTGCCAGAATCTGTTTGAGGCCGTCCGATAGTCCTTCTCCATGGCCTCCCCGAACTCCTCCCAGCTCAGAGTTTTTGCCTCCGCAACCGCACGGGCTGCAGCACGCTTGGCCCACCGATACCCGTCAGCTGCTTCAGGAGTCCCCCGAGCCAGCAAGGCCCGATAGGACTCCTTCTTCAGCTTGACGGCATCCCTTACTTCCGGTGTCCACCACCGGGTTCGGGGATTGCCAATCAACAATAGAGGCCGAGAATGAAGCCCACTCGGACTCCATATCTCCAGCCTCCCCCGGAATGCGAGGGGGAGGCTGAGTTGAAAGTCCCCCTGACAGAGGGCTCCGCCAGACATTCCCAACAGACCCTCACTACATGCTTGGGCCTGCCAGGTCTTTCCGGCTTCCTCCTCCGCCAGTGAACCCAACTTACAACCAGGTGGTGATCAGTTGACAGCTCAGCCCCTCTCTTCACCCGAGTGTCCAAGACACGCGGCCGGAGATCAGATGACACGACTACAAAGTCGATCATCGACCTCCGGCCTAGGGTGTCCTGGTGCCACGTGCACTTATGGACACCCTTGTGCTTGAACACGGTGTTCGTTATGGACAAACCGTGACTAGCACAGAAGTCCAATAACAAAACACCGCTTGGGTTCAGATCGGGGAGGCCGTTCCTCCCAATCACCCCTCTCCAAGTGTCACTGTCGTTGCCCACGTGGGCGTTGAAGTCCCCCAGGCGAACAATGGAGTCCCCGGTCGGCGCACTGTCTAGTACCCCTTCCAAGGACTCCAAGAAGACCAGGTACTCAGCACTGCTGTTCGGCCCGTAGGCCGACACCACAGTCCCCGACCCGAAGGCGCAGGGACGCGACCCTCTCGTTCACCGGGGTGAACTCCAACACACAGTGGCTGAGCTGTGGGGCAATGAGCAGGCCCACACCAGCCCGCCGCCGCTCCCCGTGGCCAACGCCAGAGAAATGGAGAGTCCAGCCCCTCTCAAGGAGTTGGGTTCCAGAGTCCAAACTGTGCATGGAGGTGAGGCCGACTATATCTAGTCGGTAACGCTCAACCTCCCGCACAAGCTCAGGCTCCTTCCCCCCCCAGCGAGGTGACATTCCATGTCCCCAGAGCTAGTCTCCATGTCCGGAGATCCGGTCGTTGAGGCCCCCGCCGTCGACTGCCGCCCAGATCTCTCTGCACCGGCCCCATATGGCTCCTCCCGCGGGTGGTGGGCCCACGTGAGGACGGCCCCACGTCGCTCCTTCGGGCTACGCCCGGCCGAGCCCCGTGGGGGAGGGCCCGGCCACCAGGCGCTCGCTGACAAGCACCCACCCCAGGCCTGGCGCCAGGGTGAGGCCCCGGTGACGCCAATCCGGGCGACGTAACTGGCCTGAGTGGACATCATCATATGGGTCTTCTGAACCGTTCTTCGTCTGACCCGTCCCCCCGGACCTGTTTGCCTTGGGTGACCCTACCAGGGGCATGAAGCCCCCGACAACATAGCTCCCGGGATCATTCGGGCACTCAAACCCCTCCACCACGATAAGGTGACGGTTCAAGGAGGGAGGACAGTAGTGCATGTATGTGTATAATACTTTGCTGGTGTAGTAATGTCATGCAGTACTCATCAACTATTTATCTATTTCATCCAGATCCATTTGATCGTTTTACTAAAGGACATCCGCTGCCTCACACAGATAAAGTGTTAAAGTGGTTTGCCACATGTTTTTGATAATTTGCATTAAAAAAGTCTCATCTCAAAGTCTATCCAGGATGAACAGGAGCTTGTTTATGGCCTTCTTCTCAGCCACAGAGGGCGAGGGAGTATTATGCAAAATGTACTTTTGGAGCTTGGTATTGCATGGTAGAAAGATTCAGATTCTGAATCTGAATCTTTCTACCATGCGATAGCATTGGGCCTCATTTATGAATGTTTTCTTCTTCTTTCGTAATTTACACTTTAAGACGATACTGAGAGAACTCTGTGCCAGATTGTTCTTTGTGCCAAAGTGTTCTTAAGCAGGTGAATTCCTTCCTGACAGTTGTGCCTAATTCACCAACATCCAGCAATGAACACCTCCACACTCATTTACATTTCATTTCCATAGAAAATTTAAATGTATTTAGCCAGAAATGCCCTCTTTGGCGTTATGACATATGAAAGCGTGAGGGAAAGAGTGAATGAGAAAGTCTGGTGGAGTCTACAGACTAGGGCTATTTTATAGCTTCAGTTGTGATTTCAAATGTCCAAATTCACAGTGGCACGTATAGGACAGACTGAGGTTCACTGCAGCCAGTATAATGTCTGTTAGACTACTATAAGACACCTCATGAATGTTATTGGATCATGTAGTAATAGAAAATAATTAAAATTAAATGCAATGTGTATGTATGAAAAAGAAAACTAAGTTGTTGTGCATAAAAGTGACGATTTCTGTTTACAATTGCTTAATAATTATGCCTGAACTTAAATTTACTAATTTGAAATGTTTAGTAACCATTGGCGTAGATGGATTGTCTTGAAAAGGGAAAAGGGGGCAGATAACATAAGATTACTCTTCTTTCTGCTCCTTTTCATTCATTTCTTGTATGTTTGATGGTGTAACAGTGTTGATGTCTTTTTATACTTTATGAATGAAATAAATAAACAAATAAATGATTTCCTTTAAAAAAAAAATACAAAATTAAAGAAAATATATAACTTACAATCATCCCCCCAGAAGAGCTGGAGGAAGTGTGCATGGAAAGGGAAGTCTGGGAGTCCCTGCTTAGACTGCTGCCTCCGCGACCCGGCCCCGGATAAGTGGAAGAAAATGGAAATGGAACAATCATGGAGGAATTAGAATGTTTTGTTGCATTGTCAGAGTAATTATTGTCTAAAACAATAGAATTTTTGTTCTTACGCATGCTCTTGACTGTTAGTAGGATTTGTTTTTCGAGAAGAACATTTTCAGTTAAAGTTTTTCTGAATGCCAAAGATGATCGTAAGTAGGCCTTAATTTGTTCTTTAGAACATTTCATGAATGAGGCCCATTGTTTTTTGGTGAATATATACTTTTCAAAACAATAAAAGGTAACGTGCATATAAAAATAAATACTCAAATTACTAATTATGAATAGTACAGTTACTCTTTCATTTTGAAAATTAAATTAAAGGAATACATTGTAGTATTTCATCATACAAGTTAAGATTCAACTGACACAATAACACAAAAACTCTTCCTTAGAGATCTTCCTTCTCTCTAGTGATAAATAAATGCATAAACAAATGGTGCTACCGGTTACCATTATATAATTCAAGACATTTTTTTTTTATAGGTAATTAGTTGGGACTTGGAAAGTGGGGAAATTTTTGCTGTACTCTATTGGGTGCTGCACACTTATCCCAGGTACAGTATGACATATCTTACCTAATCTGATTGCTAAGTGCTAAAACTATATAAGTAAAAAGACTATGTTGAAGCACTGAAATGATGGGTCACCCCGAGCTGGCGTCTCTGACAAACCAAAACAATTTGGGTGCACTCATTTCTGCAGAAGGACTGGAAGAGCTGCTGAACAAATACGTGAGCAGTGTCCGTGTGAGTCACATATTTGTACCATATCCCAATTATTTTCATTATTTAGCCCTATCATGTAGTACCTTACCTAAAGTAATTATACATGTTGTTCTGTTGCAGACAAGTGTTTCTGAATGGATGCACAAAGCGATACAGGTGGAGCTACAAGACTGGCAGAGGGAGCAGGAGCCAGAGACAGATCATGAGGGATTTTACCACACCAGTCTGCCAACAATAATAACACAGGTACTCATTCTTCAAATGCCATGGTTACGAAATCACCATAATATTATTTTGAGATAACATGTTAACCTGTTACCATCCACCTAATGTTGGCGTGTGCACAATAGCACTACATACCCAAATGCCGAGCTTATTAAAAGAAAACCTTAGAACCCACATGATTGTGTGAGGCACCATTTTAAAGCTTAGGCCTTCTAGTTTCTGTAGATGCATATGAAGACTGTGAGTGCTGCCTAACCTACAGTACAGTCAATTAAAAATTTTATTTTTTTGCTTCGAAAAAATAAAAAATAAAGGCCTTAGCTTGGGCATACTTCATGCTAGGCAAGTTGTTGGCAACAACTGTGTAGAATTTCAGACCTCTAGGGCAAAGGGTTTTGATGCTGTGAGCCTTTGTGTATACAAAATGACAATTCGGCAAAAGATTGCCAAATTTGTGCCAAAATAATAATTATAATAATATAATAATTATTATTGTTATTATAGTACTAATTCTTTCTGAGCTTTAGGCATGTTTTCTCAAGAAAAAAACCTAAAAGTAGCCAAAATTGTCCTCCAAGTGGCAGATCTGCCCACTATGGCCCCTCCCACACCGCTTCTTGTGTCTGTCTCTGTTGCGCTTGTAAACACCGCGCCCGTTTCAAAGACTATCTGCATGTCCCACCCACCGTTTGAAAGCTCTGGTGATAGGCTAAAACAATTTGTCAATCACTTTCTGGAAGATCCAATGACTGAAGAGATTTCCAGTAAACAAACTGATGACGCGTGTGTAAAGCCAGGAAGTACATGGGTACGTTAGCTTCTTCAGCGGCTTGTCCCAGCTAAACCACGGCACCGACAACAGCGGGGAGGGTCTCATTTTGAAGCTAAGAGTGTGAGGAAAACAAGCGTACCCAAGAGCGCCAAGAGAAACGGAACTCAGAGAGGGAGAAGGCTCGGAAAGGCAACATATATATTTTCATTCACGCATTCATCCATTCATACGGACGAGGATTTTCTGAATTATTTACCCACATGAAATTATTTTATGGAAAAAACAACTTGATATTCTTTTTCTGTGGATTATTACGGACTTATTGAGTACAACCTTTCATGGATTGAATGCGTTTTGGACCGACAGAACTGGCTCGAATGTAAGAAACGCGTATCTTATTCTTTGATTATGATGTGAATTTTTAAGTTATCGTGTTTTGGGCTCATTGTACTGCATAAAATGAATGATATGGTTGTTTTATTGAGAAATTAAGATTTCAAACGATGTATGGCATGCCAGTAGTGAAAACAATAATGAAGGTGAATATACAGAGTGAACATTTTTTATTGGAAAATCACCTGCCGGCGGGCGGGTGGATGATAAGTGGTTTTAAAACATTACCTGGAATATCTGGAATGATATCTCTTTGTGTGTGTATATATATATATATATATATATATATATATATATATATATATATATATATATATATATATATATATATATATATATATATATATATATATTTATATATATATATATAATATACACACACACACGCATATATATATATATATGGTTAGCAATGAGCTAACCAGTGTGGGTCCTTGGGCAAGACCCTTCATGCTACTGCCCACCTCATACAATGATGAGAGAGAAAGAAACGTATGACATGCCGGCTCAGACGTCGCCCGGCCAAACAAGGTCTGCATCAGGTGCTGGGGAACCAGGGCACCTTGATGAAAAATGGGCTACTGGAACACGGCAGAAATGGGCGAGATGCGAGAACAAGGCTCTGTTGGAATGCTACTACTACAGTAACCCTAGGCAGAGGGGTTACATGAACAGGATGTGGGAGAAATGGTTATTACAATACCCACAGTCCAAGCTAACAGCCAAACAACTAGTAGCTCAGTGTTCCAACATCCACAAACGGCAACTGCTATCACAACTAGAGATTGATGAGGTACAACACAAATGCCACGGCAAGGGGGAACCAGTGTGCCAGGTCAGAGGGGAGTTGACACCAACTCCCCAACCAGAGATTGGGTATGAAGCCCCAATAAGTATCATGCTGAGCGAGGTAGCAACTGACCTGAAAGATAAGATCATGGCCCGAATGAACACAAGGCAACCCCGATGCCAGTTACAGAGGCTAAGTGAAGTACCATCTGAAAGTCTCCTAGACGATGTGAATGCAGCACTGAGAGCGATCCCTACCACAACAATCACTGAAACCAATGAGCTGATATACACTTCAGCAGCAGTGATCCTAGATGTGTTGGGCTATAAGAGCAACCATGGGAGCCATGCGATACAATACCCACCATGGCAAAGACGGTTAGAGGCTAAAATCAAGGAGGTGCGGAGAGAAGTGAGCCAACTGTCAGAGGCCCAGAAAGGTGCAATGAAAAAGCAAGTGGCCAAGAGGTACAACCAGTTGCCCATACCTGAAGCACTCGAAACTGCCAAACAAAGGCTCCAAGCCTTGGCCAGCCGCCTAAAGAGGTACACACGAGATAACGAGGCCAGACGAATAAACCGGCTGTTCGCAACACAACCGGCGAAAGTGTACGCTCAGTGGCAGGGTAATAACACCAGAGCAGACCCACCAAGGCTGGAGACTGAGAGGTACTGGAAAGGCATATGGGAGAGGGAGGCATCACATAACACCGATGCACAGTGGCTGGTGGATCTGAGAGAAGACCACAGCAACCTCCCTGAACAGAATCCAGTCACCATCACAGTGGCAGACATCCAGGGAAGAGTCTCAGGTATGAAAAACTGGACTGCACCGGGCCCTGACATGATCCATGCGTACTGGCTAAAGAAGCTCACTGCTCTCCACGAGCGCCTAGCAGCACAAATGAACCAGCTGCTAAGGGATGGGACTCACCCTGAATGGTTAACCCAAGGGCGTACGATCCTGATCCTAAAGGATCCCTCAAAGGGTGCAGTCCCATCCAACTATCGGCCAATAACCTGTCTCTCCACAACATGGAAGCTCATGTCAGGCATCATTGCTGCTAAGATAAGTGGGCACATGAATCAATACATGAGTGCAGCACAGAAGGGTATCGGCAAAAACACCAGGGGAGCCAAACACCAACTCCTGGTTGACCGAACAGTCGCCCGCGACTGCAGAACCCGTAAGACCAACCTGTGCACTGCCTGGATTGATTACAAGAAAGCCTATGACTCAATGCCACACACATGGATCACTGAGTGCTTGAAGCTGTACAATATCAACAGGACTCTAAGGGCGTTCATTGCGAACTCGATGCGGTTGTGGAAAACCACCCTTGAAGCCAAGGGGAAGCCACTTGCACATGTGTCCATCAAATGTGGCATATACCAAGGAGACTCACTGTCCCCACTACTGTTCTGCATAGGCCTGAACCCCCTCAGCCAAATAATCGACCGCACTGGCTATGGATACCGACTCAGAAACGGGGCCACCATCAGTCACCTCCTCTACATGGATGACATCAAGCTGTACGCTAAGAGTGAGCGAGACATCGACTCACTGATCCACACCACAAGGATCTACAGTACAGACATTGGGATGTCATTCGGGCTTGAGAAATGTAGCAGGATGGTGACAAAGAGAGGGAAGGTAGTCCACACAGAGGGGGTGTCACTCCCAGAGGGAACAATAGCAGACGTTGAGGACAGTTACAAGTACCTTGGTATCCCACAAGCAAATGGCAACCTTGAAGAGGCAACAAGGAAAGCGGCTACAGCCAAATACCTGCAAAGAGTGAGGCAAGTCCTTAGAAGCCAGCTCAATGGCAAGAACAAGGTGCAGGCAATCAACAGCTACGCCCTGCCAGTGATCAGATACCCTGCAGGGATTGTAAGCTGGCCAAAGGAGGAGATACAGACCACAGATGTTAAGACACGAAAGCTCCTGCCTGACCATGCATGGAGGGTTCCATCCCAAATCCAGCACCCTGAGACTGTATGCAGGCCGGAAGGAAGGGGGCCGAGGACTAGTGAGTGTGGGAACCACTGTCCAGGATGAAACATCCAAGCTCCTTGAGTACATCAAGGACAAGGCCCCGGCAGATGAGGTGCTCAGAGAATGTCTCAGACAATGGGGTCCAGAGGAAAAGGTGCTGGTGGGACCATCATGGCAGGACAAACCCCTACATGGGGCGTACCACCGGAACATAACTGAAGTGGCTGATATCAAGAAATCCTACCAGTGGCTTGAGAGGGCTGGTCTGAAGGACAGCACAGAGGCACTGATCCTGGCTGCTCAGGAGCAGGCCCTGGGCACTCGAGCAATAGAGGCCCAGATCTACCACACCAGACAAGACCCACGGTGTAGACTGTGCAAAGAGGCTCCTGAGACAGTCCAGCACATAACTGCAGGGTGTAAGATGCTGGCAGGGAAAGCATACATGGAGCGACATAACCAAGTGGCGGGCATAGTGTACAGAAACATCTGTGCACAGTACGGGCTGGAAACCCCAGGATCAAGGTGGGAAACACCTCCAAAGGTTGTGGAGAACGACCGAGCCAAGATCCTGTGGGACTTCCAGATACAGACTGACAGAATGGTGATGGCGAACCAACCAGACATAGTGGTGGTGGATAAGAAACAGAGCAGAGCCGTGGTGGTGGACATCGCAATACCAAGCGATGGTAATATCAGGAAAAAGGAACACGAGAAGCTAGAGAAATACCAGGGGCTCAAGGAAGAGCTGGAGAGAGCCTGGAAAGTAAAGGCATCAGTGGTGCCTGTGGTGATCGGAGCACTCAGGGCTGTAACCCCCAAACTGGAAGAGTGGCTTCAACAGATACCGGGAAAAACAATGGACATCTCAGTCCAGAAAAGTGCAGTACTGGGAACAGCAAAGATACTGCGTAGAACTCTCAAGCTCCCAGGCCTCTGGTAGAGGACCCGAGCTGAATGAGGGTGAGAGAGAGACCTACCACCGTGGAAGGTGAGAAACACATTTTATATATATATATATATATATATATATATATATATATATATATATATAATTATTTTTTAAAT